GAACTAAATAAATCTATGACTGTCTATGACTAAATAAATCTATTTAAGTCTTATGCTACGAACCGCATATGTAAACACTGACATGATGATTACTACATGCATAAGTTGATTGGTACAGGGATAACTTTGGAACACCTGATTTTAAAAGCAGAAATAATAATACATGTACTAAAGTCACACGGTTCTTTGAAATGGAATTCATTAAGCAGGGGAACTTGCTTTCTAGGAGACTTTTTTAATAGGAAAACTGGTTCTCTTTCGTACAACAGCTTTACCTTAATTCTCCTCTAAAGATAAAACAATGCGAAGTTAGAAGATTCATCTTACACTGGGGAAAAATTATGCAAATATATATTTTGTTTTTTTCCATAAAGATATATTGTCTGCAGCACAGGTTTAGCACACCTGGAGAGCTTCATGCATCAAAATATCCTTACGGAAAAGAAATATCAGATAATACTCATAGCTGGTAAAACTGTGAATGTTAGGTCAGCTGTGTAACAAATTCCTTTCTCTCTGGTCATATTCTAGGAGTGAGTGAGAGGTCACAGTTGCTGTAGTAGGAAAAAAATACTTTGTTTTGTACATCTCCACAATACAAGTTCTGAAACCTCTCACAATGGAAGACATGGAACTTTCTTTCCTGTGAGCCTTGATAAAAGAAAATAAACTTGGTAGTGACATCTTCTATGCTCTCAGTTCTTTTCATACAAATCAGTCCACTGAACTCCAAAATAAAAACCAAGTAAGATATTAGTTACATTTCAATTAGGGATATAAAAAGGCAGGATCTATAAAAGCATGGCCTGTCCTTGGAGCAGAACTAAAGTGATATAATCAGTGCAGTTTTTGTAATTAAAAAAGTTTCTCCCAATCTTGATCCTTGTTTCAACTGTGTTATATGGTTGTGAAACTGAAATTGTTATCTTTCATAGCTACTGTATTCATTATATTGTTTGGTAAGGAGTTTTTTTGTTATGTATAAATGATGAATGAACATATCAGAGTTTAGGTCTAAATCGTGCAATGGAGCTCCAAAGCTGAAACACAAGATATTAAGATCAAGTATACTTGTTGAAAATTTGTCTGTAAAACAAATAAGATGTGATTATTATATTTGAACAATAATGTCCTGAAAKGTAATGCTTTGAAAGCCATTCAATCTACATAAATGGAAAATAGAAGTGCCAAATCACTGGCACTAATTATTATGTAGTAGCAAGCAGGCACAACAGTCTCACTGGTTCTAGAAACCAGCACAATATGCTGGATCTTCATTTTCTATTCCTGAAGAAGCTTAGAGATTCCTATGAGAAGCTTCAACGTAGGGATTATCTTTACCTATCTGTGGGCTGGAGGCTAAATCAAATCATCCATGAAATAAAATCCTCGGAAATGCAATTTCATCTGCAAACTTGGGGGTGCTTTCCTAATTTAGATATCTAAAGTTAAACTCTTTATGTATGTGCAGAAGAACGAAACAAAGGAAATGAGAAATGATCCATTTAAGCAACAGCACAGAAACTGGCTGGAGCAGATATGCAGACTAGTCTTGAAATATGTTCTTAGGTAGGTGTGCAGTTAACTCTGAAAGGTAGACTACTAATTATTGCAAAGTTCTTTGTGTTCGCAGCCACCCAAATACCAGAGTAAGCAATTGATAAATCTTCATAAGCACACAGAGAAATACTAATATGTACCAAGTTTGCTTTTGGTTTTAATTTTTATCTTTTATGTAGCTCATATGTAAATGTGCATTAAACAAACAGTCTTTGCTTAGTTTTTACTCTGCTTTCAATTNTTTTTTTTTTTTTTTTTTTTTTTTTTTTTTGGTATGTGTAATTTCATACTTTGTGCCCTCAAGGAAAAGTAAAGCCAGTGACCTCAAAAAGAAAGCACTGGAGGGGAAAGATTTTTTGGATCCTACGAGTCCTTCTCAGCGTTAGTCCAGAGTTTGTATAAAGGTCTTGTTTTGGAGCTAGCTGTTCTGTCATCTGACTGTCGTGAGACAGTTAAGGCAAGAGATCACAGACAAAACAAGAGCTGACAGTGGAACTGGTCACAGCAAACTTCATGTAGGGAAGGTCATTATTTTGAAGAGTGTCAGCAGGCAAACACTTTGAAATCTGTATTTGCTGCTTTACAAGGAATTTCTTCACAAAATGTTCTTTCCCAGAGGTTAGGGAAAAGGAGGGGAACAAAAAAAAACTGTCTTTGTACAAACCAACTTGATCAGCTTCTAAATAGAARGGCAGCAACAAGACTCTTCATCCTGACCACAGATCTCCAAATGAGGGACAGTAATTAGTGTGAAAATGACAAGTTGCTGAGCTGCTCCTTAACATTCCTGATTTTTTTTCTAATGTGAATAAGAGTGTGTTCTAAATCTCAGTGGTGGCTTGTAGTAATGACGGTTCTACTATTTTTTTCCATGCTGGAAGTAAGGTGTTAATAGTTCTAAAAGGAAATAGTACCTAAAACACAACTCAGTCATTTTCTTCATAGTTCAAAGTTATTTGCATAAGATATATCACCCTTTACAAATATTTACTCTGCTAAAGCCAAAGACACTGCAAATTATATGTGATCAGTTTGAACTCCGGTCTTTCACACTTGTCTTTGAGTCTCTGTCTTTCATTCTTGCTTGGTTTCAGAAAGATGAAGAGATAAAAATAATTTCTTTGTCCAACAAGATCCAAAATGGACCTCAAAGTGAAAGACCTGAATTCCACCTATAAAATTTGATTACACACTGATTAAAAAGATGGGGGGGTGGGGAAAAGAAGCTATATTCATAGGCTCATTACAGGCACAAAAAGGGGATGCTTATACAGACCATAGAGAATTTAAAAGATTTATTTATGATGTATTACTGTAATTTTTAATTTAGACATGCAAATTTTTTAATTTGCACTGACTGCTTTGCCTTAATGGTTTTGATTAATACTTGAAGGTAGTGTTTGTGAAAGAGATTTATACTGTGATTCATCTGCAAAATAATCAAATCATTACCAGCTAATGACAAAGCTATGAAAAATGATATAGATATCGTGTAACTTCTAGCTACTGCACGTGAAGGTACCCCGTATTTCCAGAAAACATGGACTTGTGTTAATAACCACCAGGAAGTTTGCTCTAGGTCCTTTCTAATTTGGTAACAAAAAACATTGATCTTAATAAAGCTGTCTGATAAAAGTAGCAGTGATTAACATCTCTGAACTCTACTTTCTAGTGAATATGCCAAAATTGGAGACATCTATTCTCTCCACCCAGAAATGAAATCTTATAGAGGTTTCTACTTATCTATACATCTTACTTGAATCCTCACAAGCCATGTAGATTTCCATGGCTTTCATTATTTAAAATAATAATAATAATACCTGTAGCTTTCTAAGGATATTGCAGTTATATCTTTCTTGCTTTTCACCATGGAATTCACCCTTACTTCTCACGTCTGGTAGATATTTTACTGTAAGGACAATAAAGGGATTACTGAACTGACAATTTGTGATACTTTTGCAACATAAGTGCATTTACACAAATATATGTGCATAAACAATCATACACATAAGGTCCACAGTTTATTTCAAAATATCAAATTTCAAAATATCACCATAGAATTATCTAGCAAGACATTCTCTTGCTTGACTTCAAACTTCTTTCATGGGATGATAGCAGATTTTCTTTTTTCTTTTTTTTTTTTTTTTTTAAATAGATTTCCCTAAAGATCAGGTGAATCTGAAATTTGCTTACAGAAAATGCAGGAATAGAAACTAGTTCCTTACTAGCTTGTGAACTTACACTTATAAACCAAAAGACATAAATTAGAATAGATTTATTAAAAATAGAATAGCTATATTGCTTTCAACAAGCTGTTATTCTGGTCCTTTTGGTCACATGGATCTAGGGATGCAGTTTCACCTCACAGCCTAAGTTCAATTTAACTGGATGTTGCTGCCTCTCTCCTTCCCCTTGCTAGAGAATATTTTACTTCTTTTTCACTTGTATTCAATGAATTGAATACAACATAATACAATACAGTACAATATAATATGGTACTGTGTGTTCAGTTCAGTTGTCTGACGGAAAACTAACGCACCCCAAAAAAATTGCAATTAATTTACTGATGTGACTTAGCTGCACATGTAGTTGAGGCAAACAAAGTAAAGGGAACATGTAAAAGGGAAGGACAACAGGATTGCCCTTTGGCCAGCAACCTTTTTTCTTAAATCAGGTTAAGCAACAAAGTCTTCTTTCTATTCCCATGACGTATAGTAGGTTCTCAAACCAAGTGCAACTTCCATATTCAGATGCATCCAGATTCCGTTAGCTCTTAATTTCTGAGTCACGATCAGCTTCATGAATATATCCACTAACTTTTCCTTACATTGTAATTCATGCTGTAATTCATCTTCTAAAAGTTCAACAAATCTACTTATAGAGTAACATTAACAAATTTTTTTCTGCCAAAGCCACCTATAAAAATGATTGGTTCTCTGATACAGTGGTCCAGCTATTACCATATGAATATCAAAACCCAGCCAACTTCCTGCTTTGGACGAATGATGGTCTGTGGTGGATACCTGCAGTCATGAGACTGCATCACTTAGATACCCCTTCTTGAGCACTGAGTTGAAAGTCCTAAGTTCACCAGCTTATTTAGCTGATGGGTAAATAAAATCAAGCTTGACTTGGTCCCAGCTGCATACATTTTTCCTTCATGGGCAAGATTCAACCCAAAGTTAGTCCTACATAACATCTCACACCTGGACAATCAGTCTAAAGAGTAAGCCAAACTGTAGACATTTGAGTAGCTAGGAACCTTTAGCTTGAACACAAGCTTAAATCAACTAACACGAGCTAGCTAACATGACAAAAGAAAAGTATCTAGTGAGTCCCTAAACCCCATGTGTTGACATAGAGCTAGTCTGCACTTAAGAGGGTTGGTCTCAACTGCAAACACCTGCAAAGTCTGCTCTTTTAGTGCTGAACATCAGACTACACAGCCCTGCTCATTTTGGTCTTCCCAATCCCTCTGTTGTTTATTCCTTCTCCCTTAGGTTTTGTGCTATGGTGCTTACTCTTGCTCTGCCCTTGTACTGCGTATGAAGAAGACTCCAAGGTAAGCAGTGTGAATGAAGAGACTCCAAGGTAAGCAGTGTGAATGAAAGCAAGAGATAGCCTGAGATTTAAAAAAAAAATCCACACAAGTATGTCAAGGAAAAGTATGTTTATTCTTCAGATATGCACCATCAGACTGTGAGTTACCTGAGGAACTGCCTAGATGGTGCTGTGTGGTGGCTAGCTAGCTGTATATTGCTATATTTACTCAACTCATGTGCCTGAGAAAGCGTTGGAGGCTAAAAACATTAGCAAAGTAGTTTGATCACCTCTCTTTCTGTATCTGTGCTATCAAAACAATTCATTAAAGGTAAATCTTTAAGTACCTACCATGTTGCTTATTTGTACCTTTATCAAGGTCAATATAATGTCCTGCAATTACTAAACTGATCATTTTTCTCTCCTGAAAAATGCAGTAGGCTAAAATTACTGACTTCATGAAAAACACTGTTTCAATACCTAGAAAAGATTCAGTCCAGGGGACTGTGTGCACTAATATTTTGCTGAAATGATCTTTAGTAAGAAAGAACGCTGTCAGGCAAATTCACATAAACCTGGGGCAAGGTTTCTGATCACCAAGGGGATGTGACAAACRCTAAATGGCATAAATATTCTGAGACCTAACTTTTACACATGGTATTACATAGTTATGCAGCCTGGCTTGTCTTATTTGCATGGAGACAACTTGGCACCTATCAATAGGATTCTCAGAAACCAGCAAGCTAAGCAGAACTGCTGAAAAAAAGTGTTGAAAGAAGGATTTCTGTTTCACCACTCAAAAATCAGGTAATTTTACCCAGCTTGATTTCCTGACCGTTCTGGAGATAGAGGTCTGAGCAAACGATGTTCTTGCACTCATGGGAATAAATTTAGACATAATTGTAAATTTGACAGCTCAAAGTTAGGTGACTAGTAAATCCAGGCATCTTCAGGGTTGTGAAGTAATCTCAGTATGCCTAGCTCCCTTTTGCAGTTATTTATGATATCCATAAGCAAGCTTCTACATTTGCCCTGATGCAAAACTCAGTGAATACAGTGAAGTATTCTACTAGTGTATTATTCAAGCCAAAATAGTTTTCAAGCTATGTAACATAATAAGCACATTTTAATAATTAATAGTGTAATATAATTAGTAAGGTAGTATAATGCATTTTTTTTTTTAGCTAGACTTTACAGCATATGGGTATGTAACCATTGCTTGGGAGATTCTCCTACTGATTTGTATTTCATATATCAATAAATCTTAAAGATTTCAATTTTCATTTTTGCCATAGTAGTCTCTATAATTTAAAAAAAAATAAAAATAAAGAGAAAGTAATTAATCCTAGACATATATTGCTAGAGTGGATCTTATAGATAAGATAGCTATAGAATCTTGGAGTAGAAGACTATCAAACTGTAACTTCAAATTTTTGAAGTTTTTCTGATTTTCTTTTTTTCTCCAAACACAACTGCTTTTATTATCTTTTTCTTTGCATGACAATTTGACTTGTTTTTACTGATTTCTTCTTTACAAAAAATTATTTCCTAAGCTCTAATCATGTCCATAGTTGGTCCTCCCCATGCACATAGATATGTATTTGTATATACATTGCTGTTATCTTTGATATAACTTGACGTATTTCAACCCTAGAGTTTCTAGGGTTTATTCGAATTATGTGTTTTACGTATTGAAAAAAACACAATACATTTCAGTATTTAGAAGCAATAGAATACTCAAATTGCCCAGTACTTAGAGGACTACACTACAATACCTCATAGAAGACAACTGCTTAAGCAAGTGAGAGTTGCAAGTATCCAATGAGTTCATTAGGTAAGACACTTATGAGATATGGATATGATATTTATGAGAMCATGTGACTGAATTGTCTTCTTTAACATATCTATGTATATAATTTCTTCCACATTGTTGCAGTCAGATGAAGCTTAAATTCATCTTCTTCTATCCTAAAATCTTGACATTCATTAACTTTTTGTAATTTTAGAATTGGAATAAGAGATTTCAAACATTTCTGCTAAATATTACCAGACAGATCACGATAAGTTTATACTATCAGTACTCAAAAACCACTGGTTTCAGTCTACATGAAGGTGAGTGAATCTGTGTGGCAGATTTGTTTCTCATAGTTCACTAATCTCCTTTTGGGTCTGTGAGAAGCCAGAATTCAGTTTGAAACTCWGAATTTTCTCAGATCCATTGTAAAACCACTAATTTACAAATGATTCACTTTGAGAATGGCCAGTTCTGAGCTGTCAAAGTCTTACTGTCTTCGGGTAAAAATTATGTTGGAAATCAGAGAGAGAGAAAACAAATACCATGAAAATTTTGCATATATCTTTAGTGGTTTTTCCAGCATATGTGAAACCTCAAGCAATTTAGTTTTGGTTTTCTTTACAAAAAAAAAAAAAAAAAAAAAAAGACATTTTAAAATTAGTAGTAAATTAACAGGTACTATATAAGACATCTTTTTTCTTTTCTTTCCAGAAACACATGTCCTGTATTACTGTAGTTGTTTTGAATCTGATCATTGTTGGCGTGTTGATATGCAGGTACTTGAGCACAGGAGGTCAATACCAGTACCAGGTAAGCTGTGGCAGTGCAGTTAAGACATATGTGACCGTGAAGCCATGGTCTGCAGAAGTCCAACCCCTACCATCAGATGCAACTGCATAGCCAAGRTTCCTGAGAGGTTTTCATATAACCTCTATGCCACATGCCACCAGAAAGCCACACTTGTTTCCTTATATATTTTAATTGATAACCAAAAATTAGTGTGAATTCTGCAAGAAGAAGWTAAGAAAGTTTCTTTCCAAGAGCAGATTGATCATGCTTTTTAAATCCCAATGATCCTAGCAAGTGGATCATAACCAAACTTCCAAGAGAAACAAGACATAACAAAACAAAAACTCTGAAAAAAAAAAAGAAAACCCAAAACCAAACAAATAGACAAAAAGAACCCCTCCACCTTTGTCCAAATCTAGAGAAAGATTAAACTTGCAACTGATAATGTTTCTAGGACTGCTCATATGCTCTCCCTATATGCTATTTTCAATTCTAGCCAATCTCCTTTACTCCTCACAGAAGTAAAGACATCAAATTTCCTTTAGGAGGGGAGATAAGAAAATTGTTTCCTGGTTCCTTTGAGAGATCACAAGAAACTCTGAAACATGCTATGGCAACTACATAGTATTAATTTATCTATTTTTTTAATTCATTGATCTTGTGCTACTATCACCTTTTCTCTTAAATAGTTGCTCTCTGTCCTTATCATTTACTCCTGAATATATTTAGGAAGAATCAGTATATCTCCTTTCACCCTATGTTTGTCTAGGCTTAACAAGTCTGCTCTTTTAATCTTTCATAAGATTAATTCTCTATTTCCATAAGCATACAATTGTCTTTATCTGCCTATGTTATACTTTAAGGTCATCTTACATGAACGTAGATGACCAGAAGTCAATAAAATACTTAAAATGCTTTCAGCCCCACCAGTGCTTTGAACAATGAAATAACACTTTCCATACTACAAATGTCTTATATTAGCCTTTTCAGGATTTCTGTATATGACAACAGAAAGTCATCATCCATGACAACCAGGATACCCATATTTCTTTTTCATTATCTTCCACTGATAAATAAACACCATATTTAAGGATAATTCCAGTTACTGGTGCTTAAATGCATGGTTTTGCAATCCATGGCTTATAAATTTCACCTCATCATTCTAATAATGAAATAATCTATTTTTCCTCATTTGATACTCAAGTCCTCTCTTACAGCAATGCTTCTCCTTTTAATGTTACCTGTGAATTTCACAAATGCACATATACCTCGTGATATTATAACACTAATTAAAATATTAAATGTGATCATTTTAAAGACCAAAATTCCCTTCTTTTGGGAATTCTATTTTCTTCTAACACTCCTATAGGAATAATTTTCATCTTCTAGAATAAAGTCCAATCCATCTACATTGTCTAAGAAATCTATTATTTCATTAAAAATGATACTGGATTKATCCAACACTATGTACCTGCATTAAACTAATGGTATAATTAACACACTTTCAATTTCTCTTCATATCCTTTCTTTTAAAACTTCTTCTAAGACTACACACTGTTGAAATCATATTAACAAGTCTGTCGTTCCTTGGATCACCTTTTTGCWTCATTTTCCTACCTGTAGATACGTATTCCATTTGCTATTCTTAATCTTTTCACAGATCTTCTAAATATGCATATTACTTAAAAAACTCTTGCTGTTAGACTTAGTCTAAATATTAAGACTGGATATTACTATCTTCTCTGATTTTGAGATACAGATAATCTGTTATTGTTTATGCTTTTATACAATTTCAGTTGTTCCATCCTTTTTTTCCTTAGATATTTGTTGTTGTTCTAAACTGTTGAATAAATTATGCTGCAATGCAAACTCTTCAAACTTCAGCAGGTTTTAAGAATGTAGCGTTCAGACTTTGTTATCTTCAGTAGAAGTCTGGAAAAGAGCTCAGTCAGTTCTTATCTGTATTTGCAGGAGGAGATTGGGCAGCTTGAAATCATTAGAACTGTGTCATTAGAACCACAGGGAAAACAGATAATGGGACACCCTCATCTGCATGACCTCGGAGGACCCATAGAATAAGCATCAAATAAGGGCAACAGTTCAAGTCTATGACTGAATTTAGGAACAACATATTGCTGTGCTGAAGCGACATGGAATCATTTAGTCATCACCTCTACTGAAAAGTGATGCAAAGTATCTCTTCAGTAGTTGATCCAATCCCAGGTAAGCCTAATCTTACCCTAACCCTTACCCCACACAATCAGTATACAGATGAACCCATTCCTCCTTCTTTTTGTTGATAAGATTACCAAATTTTAGGACACTTGTTTTCTGCGCTAATTCAAAAAGATTTGAGACCAATATGAGCTTTGTTTTTACACAGTCTGACATTTGAGATGTAGTTGTTCAGGTAGGCTCTATTTACTTTTAATGTTTAAGGTATTTGTTCATCCCAAGACTTCTATATTTATATAATCTACATAATCTATATAATACTTAATCTATAATAAGAATTTTTCCTTGTGCTGTAAAACTCACCTTTGCCCTTTTGAACTAAAGTAATTCCAAATTTCAGCAGGATCCTCAGTGTTCAAATTCTGAAACCCTGAATATAAGTCCTCAGTCTGCTAACTAACCTTCTGAATGTCTTGAACTTACCTAAAATCACAAACTTCAGGTATGGGCCTCATCACTATAACAGTTAAACACTTACTAGTTTATTCTTGGACTTCCTCTGTAACACAAGAAAATATTATCCCTATTTCACAGGACGGATAAGATAAAGTCTACAAATTACAAAGTCTACAAATAAGATTTGTCTACAAATTACATGGCTCATGTAAGAATTGAACCCGATTCCTCGAAACATCATGGATGTACTTCTTGTTTAAAGCTGATGTTAAACTGAAAGTTATGTACTGGGCACAATAATAGTCAACTAAACATATAATAAAAACCTTAACTTGGGAAAATTCTTGTAATTGTACTCCAGATACAAGATAGAGTTTCTTTTCTTGACCTCTGAGCATCTTTAGCAAATATCACTTTTACCCATTTATGCAATCCAGGGGAACCTGGAACTTACGTGTGTGTGTGTGATAAAAAAAGCACGTATGCTCAAAACAGAGTGGCATAAATGAAATATACTGATACGYTGCTGATGTATTTTTTTCTTTCTCTCTTTCTCATATAATGCTGCTGCATGGGTTCCCCTCAATTCTTTGGATATGGACCCTTGGGGCCATGTAGATATCAACCAAATCGCCTGGAGACAGCATTTAATAGATCATTAACCCAATGGTGAATCAGAATGTTTGAAACAGAAACAAGAAAATAGCAGGAAATATCTTGCAGTGTATGCCTGGCAAACTAGAGTGAAACCCTGCCCTCATCAAAGTTAATACTTAAAGTAAAAATTCATTCTTGATATTTATAATCATCCCTGGATAGTTCTTATTCCATTTATTTCACTTATGACAAACTTTGAGATGAGAAAATGATATGGGACAGTGTAACAGTTAATGTAATAGTCTTGCACATATCTGTTTCTGAGCACTTACGTTTGTTGGAAATTTTATAAAGATTCTTTTTTGTGTGTGTGATAATTAGAATAAGAAACCTGTAGCACCTTACCTCTTCTTCCTTTAATGCTGACTCATTCTTTTTTTCTTGGAAGAGCTGCACAAAGTGAACAACTAGGGTGAGAGAATAATAAAATTACTCATTGTGGCTTTATTTATTGCAAAAGCAACAAACAAGAAACCAGTGTCAATCAAGTCTTAATATCTGTTGCTAGGAGAATAAATTAAGAGAAGCTTACAGCCACCAGGCTCGGTGGATGTTCCCCCGGTGTGGACACAGCACGCGTGCTCGGTGGAATCCACCTGGCTCCATCAGAGTTGGCTCTCTTCCATATCGCCATCAGGGAGCACACACACCTGAGTTTCTGCTAAGCGAGTTGAGGAGGGAGTGAAGCTGGGGTGCAAGGTCAAGGACTGAGTGGGCTCATGAATCAAGGCGAAATATTCTCAGTGAGTGCCAGGTTTTGAGGGCTTGCAAAGCCTCCACACCTAACACCCAAGCAGCTGGAGTATCCACTGAGCAGAGCCTGGGATAAYTTTTGATGTGGGTGTTTTCAGGATTTTTTTATCTGCATTTCTTCTTACTCGTTTAAAGGAGATCAGAGATCAGGGGCAACCGSGGCCTTTCTTTTTACTGAGAGGGGGAAAAAGAGCAAAGAGAGGAAGGCAAATGCATAACATTAATAAAAAGAGGTCCATAGCAGAGGAGAGCAGTAGAAAGTGACATAGGAACTTTCAGTATTTTCATATATTCTCATATATTTCACCATACTGTCAGCCTGATGATATGAGATACTTCAGGCACCCACTAATCGCAGCCTTAAACTGAAGCACAACTGTGTTTCTCTGTAAAATCACAGGGACTGCTCGTGATGATCTGTACAATTTGGGCATGTGTCTAAATGCAATGCCGGACAATGCAATGCTATAAAAATTACATTTAAATGTACTCCAGAAGATTCTGGAGGACATTAGTAAGTGAAATATATGGGGCTTTTTTGTTTTGTTTTGTTCTTTTTCTTAATGTCCTTTTTCTTAWCATTTTTCTTAATGATATAACTGAACTATCTTTGTAACACTGTAAAGCTTCTGCATTGGAGGTCTCTGGCAAACCTCTGGGGGAAAAATCCTTCAAGGCAATAGCATATGAAGTAATGTCAAATTAAAAATAAACAAACAAAGACGTCCAATTAAAAAAACATAGCAAATCAAAACACATTTCTCTCCATTACAAGGAAAGGATTTTTTTCCTTTTTTTTTTTCCAYGAAACTATTAAATAAATATGCTTGTATTTTACAAGTGTGCTTCCTGCAAAAAGTGCAATCTATTTGTACAGCAGAGAGAATGAAGGACTTACTGCTTAAAGGCACAAAAAGGGTGTGTAATAGGATTCTGGCGTCTTCCCAGACAGCTTGCAGACAAATTCAGAGATGAACAGAGAAGTATCCTTTTTGAAGTATATTTGGCCAAGGTCTCATTCACAAACAGATAAAACCAACACATTTCTGCATGATAAGGGTCAACAGAATAGCGTATTAGTTTGAGAAAAGAACCCATCTGCAAATTTCTTATATAAAAATATACGAGGACACAACAGGAAAGCTGTCAGCGTGACAGTTGGAGGATTCTGCCAAGGAGCCAGATGCTAGTGTCAGAAGAACATGTTCCACAGCTTGGCATCTGGGTTCTCTCATTGCCCTCCAAGAAGGAAGAAAAGGAGGAGTGATAAGATATGCCTAAATGAATAAAACTATAAGCAATACCACCACCACCCCCAACACACACGAATCACTATTTCTTTTAGAAAATCCTCAGCTACTTGTTCTCCTACATCTTATAAATTAAAATGGAGGGTGGTAAATTTAACCCAGTTATGTTTTAGTGTCTTCACACACATTCACACTGAATATGACTCATATGATTTTAAGTGTTCGTTTATGTAGATGCACATTTTTTTTTCTGCAGTTTTACCAAAATTTTGTCACAGAAAAGAAGTCAAGATCAATTTTTAGGCTGTGTCATACTTGGGAAAGGTAGGATATTATAGCTGAGTGTAGAGAATGATTACAACGTTATTCTTTCTCTGAACAGTTATTAACTCAGCAGAGCTGGAGAATAGATAGGAAAGATGTAAAGGGTCGGTGGAAGACTTCATGAAACATGATAAGGAATCACCTCATTATAGGTTATGTACAGGAAAGGAAACACTATCTTTGAGAAAGCTATAGTTGCCACACAGTTCCYTTAATAATTCTGGTCAGAGAGTAGGAAGGCTAAGAGTATGTCCTGGGTCCTTTAATCTTATCCTCTTACCATGGATAATTAAGTAAGCCTTAACTTTTTATCTATGTTCTTTCCTCAAGTCTTTCACCATGATACCTGAGAGTGCCAGCACTAATTCAAGTCTCATGTACTGCTGAATCTCTGCCTTTGTTCTGCTGAATAAAGCTGATTAGGAAGGATGAAGCAATTGCCTAGTAATTTAGTCAGGTATCATGTAAAGTTTTAAAGATACTTGATTTTTTTTCTTGGAGATCTCCATGGAAAGAGGACAGACCATAACCAGGACTCTACCCTGCTTGCAAAATGAATGACCACTCTCCTTTAAGCTGACAGACATTTTTAAGGTTAGACATGCCTGAACTGCAAGTGGCATTCACCTCTTCTCCACTCCCCACTCCTTACTAGAGATAGATGTGTGATAGTCACTGCTTGTGCTGGTGTTGCCAAGGGCATGAGACTGGTTTTCACCTAGGACAATCCCTAATTCAGACATAAAAGCRGCTGATTAAATTCTCCCTGGACTTTTTAAAAAGCACTTTAGCTCATCTCCAGTGCCAGCATGTCCCCAAAATGATGGGGCAGAGGGAATGGAAGGCAGAAATACTGCATTTTACAAGCAATTTAATTCCCTGTCTATGCAACTGTAACTGGCATAGTTACTAGTATTTGTTTTCAGAAGCAGTAATTAACTCCTTTCAGATACYATTTCTCTTAGTTCTCTTTCAACTCAGGGCCTACAGAAATTGATCTGTGGAAATGTTTTTTTTCTTCTTCTTTCACAAATTAGAGTGGAATTCAGAAAATAATGTAGCAAGCTCCAGTCTSAGTCATTCCCTTGTTAACAGACCTTCAGGAAAGTCTGATGAAAACATAATGTAGAGACAGAAAAAGAAGGAAAACAAACCAGTATTGCTACTATATTGCCTGCTATTGGGATTTAGGACAAAAACTTATCATGCTTGACCTCAGATTAAGAGAGCCCACACAGACATAGTCAGAAATTGTTTAAGATCTAGATGTAGATCTGAAAAGTGAATCTCCATATTTGTTCTGCCTAAATGACTTCAAGAAGGCTTTACTGAGCTCAGAAATCAAGAGGTGATTTTAGCCACGAGCTGTACTGTAAAATCTCTTTGGGATCTAAATATCAAACTATTCTTGCTGCCTCTGACATCAGCACTGGCAATAAAGCGTCTGCTGTTAGCACCGATCTGACAATGGGATGTGGAACACGAGGTGAAAGAGAAGGCAACTCAGTCTTCCATAGCTGTCAGCAGATCTGGCAACACAGTAGGAAAACTTACTTTCCATCAAGTAAATGGATACAGTCAAAGGCACATATGGGAAACAGACGAGAAAAAGAAGCGTTTTTACAATGACACTTCCCTATTTAATTGCCCTTCAAATTTTCTGGACCAAATTTGGGCTCCATTGCACTCTTAATTCTATTAGTGGGATAAARAGCTGAGTTTAACTCATTTCTGAGGGCGTTATGTTTCCTAATGTGCTAAATCACTCTGGAGGAAAATGATTTGGGGAATTCAGACCAGCTAGGCTTRACCCCAAAATAACCTGTCCTTCCTAAAAGTATAGCTAAATCTGATCCAAAAAGCAGGAAAATTTTGGCTATTCCTTACTTTTATTGCCATATATGAAAGAATGTGATACGTTCACAACATATTCTAAATTCTTTTTTATCAATGTCCCRTCTTTCTGTGAGGTGAAAAAATGTCTAAACTTGTTTAACTGGGTTATTCATCTGTATTTGAGACAACCACCAGGAGAAGAAAAATGCTAAACTTGGCACCTCTTGGAAAGACAGACATCAGGGAAAACAAATGTAGAGCTATCACCATTTTTTATTACCCTACTGCTGCACAGTCGCACAGTCTCATGAAAGGAAGAATTTGCCTTTCTAAGAATCTGTAGAGGAAAGATCAATGCAAATGACTAGGCTAGAAGGCTACAAGAAATGCATCAGAATAGCTGCTCCTCTGACCAAGGCTTGCAGGCATCAGTTGTCAAAATGCTGATATCCTCATAGGAATGATCAGACAGGGAGAACATTTCATGCCCTGAAATGTGAACGTACATTCAGAAAAAAAGGACCAAAGCAGGAATAGTATGGTCTAGAGGAAGTTATATTCCAGCACAGTTTTTTCTCAACAATATGTTTTTTGTCTGTGTTTCTTGTCTGTGTTTCTTGATTCCTTGATACATTTTCCAAAATCTTTTTCCAAAAGCTTCCCAGAAACAAAACTTGACCTGCAGTGTAAGCAAACACGTGGACTATACAAACATCATGGTGCTATCTGCATAATTGAAACATCTTTGGGGACTCTTGACAAATGGATTGTGTGGCTCAGATAGACTCAAGGGCACAGACAAGAGGTCTAACTTCAGGGCAAAGTGCTTCAGTTCCAGTCAGAAATCAATTTTGCCAGCATGCAGACCTAGCATGTTATGTATTGTACTGCAATATCTGCTGTGTTGTGCTGTGGTTTTTGTTGTTGTTGTTGTTTTGTGGGTTTTTTTTTTTTTTTTTTTTTGGTGGTAAGTTATAGGAAGATCCATTCAAAAAGGAAAGTTTTAA